CGAAGAAGTAGTGCTCTTCGAGTCGGCGGTAGAAAATGCCCAGTCATTTCTGCACGAATCATCCGCTAATCTTGAATTATATACCTCAATCCATGTCGTTTGGATGGTAATCAGTTGATTTTGTAAGATTTTCAGCTCTTTAGAGCATTTTAGCTACATTTTAGAACCATTTGAAACGAGACAACTTTTTGCCGCCGTCTGTCAGCCATTTTGTTTTCATTCTGAGACTGCAGTCCATCTGCAACGCAGGCGCTACCAAAAATCGCTGATTGGTTTATTTTGACATCTCCATGGAAACTGAGACTGTAACGCATGCGCTATCGATGCGCTACCAATTTGAAGCGTAATATTCACCACCACGACGAAAAGCCAGTTGCATTTTTAGACGTGGACTTCCGCAGGAAGCCCACGTAATTAGGTAGCTCATGACATGAGCTTGTTGGACTAGAGAAATTCAAAGTGAATTGACTGATTATGATTTAAGCGTTACTTCAACCTAAAAGTTTATTTATTTAGTCGAGCTTTCGGCTCACCGAGCCATTATAAAGACTTATGAAATTAAAGTCGCTCTTAGAGCGCATGTGGTTACCCCAAAACTCGACTTGTATGAAAGATAAATTGGAATATCTGGGATTATTGCTGTACACCAACATCGTACGTCTTTTTATACATAAAGTGATGACTACAGTTTACATCAACATTGTAATGTGTTCAGACATGTCATTCCTTTGTCATGGGCAAGCAATCACGTGATAGTATTACTTCGGACTGACTTACTTACAAATCGATAACATAGTGGTTAGCTGTCTTATGACGGAGTAACCACAAAAACGTTACAGTTTACAAAACCAAAATAATTAACTTTTAGTTTAAAGTAACGCTTAAACCATAATGAATAGACCGACCTACAACCATTCATTTGATCTGAATTGATTCAGCCGTTGCAATATCAAATTAAATTGCAAGATAGCACTGCGGTGAATGGATGCCCGCTCTCAGAAAAAGAATTATAGTCAGTATAATCGTCAATTGCGACAATTTAGAGACCTTTAGCATCGGGTTGACGGCGGACGGTAACGATGCTCTTGTCGTCAAGTTTGCAGTTTGCGGTAGGATTCAACGGTAGTAACGCCATCTTAATTATTATTATTATTCCCAGTGATAACCGACAATAACCAAAGCTTATTGGCTGGAAAGAGATGGTGGGCGTCTGCCTATCGAAATCAAATTTACTTTTAATTACCACAATTATGCTTTTGATTTGGTGGACATCTTGATGATATTTTTAATAACAAAAATCTCCGAAAAATCTCAAAAGAAAGATGAAGAAAAGGTATGTATAGTCATCGAGGATTGAGTCGTGAACTTCATATTATATCCGCGCTTTGAACTCGTTGACTGCTATTTCTATTGTGTAAAGGGCACCAAGTTCACAGGTCGAGCTAATTAGTCTTGATAGAAAAGAACCCAAGATGAACTCTTCTGGTCGTAAAAAATCACCACCCTTAATCGCTTTTGAAAACGGCGAAATTTAACTCCACATATTGCAGACGGTACTGTTTATTATATGAAAGCTGAAAGGTTGGAAGGGGTTTGTGTTGGTTCTTTATCCATTTTGACTACCTCATATCATTATCATGTGGATATCATGTGAATAATTCCCTGTGATGACCGACAATAACTAAAGCTGATTGGCTGGAAAGCGGTGGTGGGCGTCTCTCTATGGAAATTAAATTCCCTTTGGACAGGTTTGGACACCCTCAAGTGATAATAAAGCAATTGATTTCTCAACTTTTTAAAAAAACTTTCATTTAATCAACAAATTTAGAGTGCGGCCCTGATCCCGAGACCTCGTTACTAGCCTAGTGTACTCATATTTTTGATATCATCATATACAATGAAATAAAAGTTATCAGAAGGAGTAAAACGACAACATAAGAATCAATG